AAAAAATTTCTTAACTTTCTTAATATACTTAGAGCTACTTTACATCTTTTTACCAACATTTTTTAATACTAATTTGTTACTCAAGGCAAAATATTTATAATTTCAACTAAATTTTATTATACAATTCAATAACTCTCCTTATTGTACTTTTAAAAAAGAAAATTTTTTAATTTGTGCCCCCAGTTTCATTAAATGTTGAATTTTTAATTAATTTTACATAAATTTTTATATCACATTTAATTAAAATAAAATATAAAATGTAAAATTAAAATAAAATATAATATTTTTACTCAAAATATGTAAAATAATATAAATTTGATATAAAAATTTGTACAAAATTAATTATAACTTTTATAATTAATAAATTTAATATAAAAATTTGTACAAAATTAATTATAACTTTTATAATTAATAAATTTTAACCAGTATTCTTAAACAAATCTTTTAAGAATACTGGTTAAAATTTATTTAATATAAATTTGATATAAAAATTTGTACAAAATTAATTATAACTTTTATAATTAATAAATTTTAACCAGTATTCTTAAACAAATCTTTTAAAAAAACTTATGATGTAAAAATTTTCCAATAAAATTAGCCTATAAGTAAAGAGCCTCTCTAAGGAAGCGAGAAATTGGAATGTGCACCTTATTATTATTATTTTTTATTAATCTTTCGTATTCGGTAATTATATTGGATTTTAATTAATTTAAAATTAAGTTTATTGAATACCATTTAAAGAGAAATTTTCTTAATATATATTTTTTTATTTATAAAGCTCGAAACTCAACATCAGAATGTGCACCTTATTGATTGCGCAACAATCTCTTCATCTGAGCTTGCCGTTACCCCCAATTCACTCTACCAAAAGACAGTCTCATCATCTGCTACAAGAATTACTATATCCATGTAATAAAGGAATCAACGTACTACAAGATCCCCACGCCGGGGCACCACGTCGACACGTTAGTCAAGTAAGGATTATCTCTTATGGATTGTGTTTTCAAAATTCATAGGTTACATTTTTTTTTCTTCCCAACTTGTCCCAGTTAAAAAAAAAAAAAAAAAAAAAAAAAGAACTGAAGAAAAACTTCCACAAGAGTGGCACTTGACAGCTGATGATTGTGACTTTATTTCATTTTATATCGGTTCTACTCTAATAGACGTTTTAGGGGAGATTTTTTTTTTTTTTTTGATTTGTCATTTTTTTAGCATAACATTAATTAACTTTTTCTTTAAATTGATTATTTGAATTTAATAATTTTTTTTAAAATTTTAATATTTAAATTCAATTGGTTGAGAATTTGACTTCCACCAATTACTTGAAAAATATCTCTCTATTTCCCATGAATTGAAAAAGAAAAAACTATTTTTTTATTGTTTTGTCAAAACGTTAATTATCTTCGTTGATTGAAATTATAAAAAATAAAATTTAAAAAGATAAAGTAATACTTTAAATCTATTTATCTCTAAAATAAAAAATAATTTATTACTTTTCTTAATTTCAATACTCTCTCTTCAGAAATCAGATAAGGTGAAACATATGGAGTAATAAACTTTCTAAGAAGTGTATCAAATGATTAAAAATTTAAAATTTAAAATATAAAATTAGAAATCTCTTACTTTGTGTTATTATATAACTTATTATTTGATATATTAAAAAAAGAGAGTTTTAAGTTCTTAAGATCTATGTTAAAGATATATTAATTATATATTTTTATAATTAATTTATATTAAAAATAAAAAAAATTCAGTTTAAATTTATTAATTACTTAATAAAAATAATGCATTTAAGTCCGTTAGTATTAAAAATATTTTTTATTTTTTTAAAAAATAATTTTACCTTCATATATATTTTTTATAAAAATTTATTACAAAATAATATAATATTGCACTTAACTAAGGCAAAAGCCTACTTTTAAGCTTTCATTTTGTCAAATTTGAAGGTTTTAATCCCAACCTTATATTATGATATTTTTACCCTTCATCTTATATTATGACACTTTAGCTCCTCACTTATTAAAATTGAAGAAAATAACTTTCACTTTGTAACATTTTGTTAGTTTTGTTAGTTGACTGTTAATTCTATTAGTTCATTGTTAGTTAACTGTTAATTGTCAAAAATCTTTTTTCAGTTAACAGAGTTAATAGAACTAACTTTAGAATATTTCGTTAATTCTGTTAATTAACTATTAATTGACTGTTAGTTAATAAAAATTTACTTCTAACTAACAAAGTTAACAGTCAATATGAAGTGAAAGCTATTTTCTTAAATTTTAATAAGTGATGGGTTAAAACTTATAAATCCAGTAAGTTTAGAGATTAAAAGTGTTAAATATAAGATAAAGAGTTAAAATCTTCAAACTTGATAGAGTGAGAGGCTAAAATAGGCTTTTATCCTTAACTAATACCTAAATAAAAAAAAAATCTTATTTTAATTACTCCCAGTAACTTAACAAAAGAATCAACCAACAACAACAGTGGCATTTGACAGATGACGAGTGTGACATTACTTTGCCGACTGCAACACTGCACCTTACAGGTGATGGGTATGACATTATTTTAGAGATAAAGTTTAAAATGTATTTATTATAAAATTTTTTAAAAATTTTAAACAGAAGTAAACGATATATATTTTTAATATAAAAGTTAATAATACATTTTTTTATACATTAATTTTAATAAAAATAAAAAAACAATTATCAATTTTAACACTCATTTTATTTGAATATTTTTAATTATAAAATAATGTTAATTTTTTTATTTTTCATTTAAATTAATATTTAAAAGGTACAATAAGAGTACCATTTTGAAAACCCCAAAAATAAAAAATATCCATTATTTTATCCACTGCCGTACTAAATTAGTGTTAAAAATATTTTTTGTATTTTTATATAAATTAATAAAAAATTACGATACATACACTAATAAACTCAACAGTAAAACACATGTTGAAGCAGACCCTCGTGTGCCCCATGTGGTCCAAGTGATCACGTTGTTCTTAAGCAGTAGGTGACTTGCACTTCGTTAGAGATTCGAGTCTCTCTCGACACTAACAGGTACTAACACTTTTTAATTAATTTTTACTGTCAAAAAAACAAAAAAAGTAAGACACATGTTGAAAATTAAAAATTAATTTCACATGTAATCTTTCATTATTATAACATTAATTTTCTCATTTTGATTGTGAAATTAATGACTATAAAAGGAGACCAAAGCTTCCACAAGATAGAGCACCGCGTCACAGTTATAAATTCTACCATTTTTAGCAATATTTTTCCGAGATTTTCAGAGGTCCAGTGGCTATGGCAGCTTCCTCCTTACTCTCAGCAGCCGTAAGAAGGTATGTTACTCTTACTCAAAAATCTGATGATGAAATTACAAACAAATTTTAAACGGTGAGCCTTGACGTGCTTTCTCAGGCTTGAAGGGAAGGTTGCGATCGTCACCGGTGGTGCCAACGGTATTGGTGAGTGCACCGCAAGAACCTTCACCAAGCATGGAGCAAAAGTGGTGATCGCCGACATCCAGGACGATTTAGCCGAATCCGTCTGCAGCGATATCGGCTCTGAATCTGCTTCCTTTGTTCACTGCGACGTGACCAAGGAAAGGGACGTTCAAAACGTCGTCGATACCACTGTGTCTAAGTTCGGAAAGCTTGATATTATGTTTAATAATGCTGGCATTATCGATGTTGCGAAACCCGATATTTTGGATAACGACGTCTCCGAGTTCGAACAGGTCCTCAGGGTGAACGTCGTGGGAGCTTTCCTGGGGACAAAATACGCGGCACGCGTGATGAAAGCGGTACGCCGCGGCAGCATAATCAATACCGCCAGCGTCTGCTCAATTACAGGCGGTAGCGCCTCTCACGCCTACACCAGCTCAAAGCACGGCGTGTTGGGGCTGATGAGGAATGCTGCGGTGGAGCTGGGACAGTATGGCATCAGGGTGAACTGCGTGTCACCGTACGTGGTGGCAACTCCATTGGCGAAGAACTTCCTCAAGATGGATGATATTGATGGGTACTTTGGCATTTATGAGAATCTGAAAGGGGCAAATCTGGAGCCGGAGGATGTGGCAGCGTCGGCGCTTTTCTTGGCGAGCGACGAGTCTAAGTACGTAAGTGGGCACAATATGATCATTGACGGGGGCTTTACCATCACCAATTCTGGTTTCTCCATTTTTGGTCAAGATGAATGAGTGATTTATTTTGCTCTTCTCCACTACTCTATGGATAAAATAAAACACATATCACAT